GGAGTGAGTGAGAGCTATAGCACTCAAAAATAGGAGAGTACAATCCATACTCTTGAAGGCACGATTGAAATGATTGATTGAATTGTTTGGTTCAAACATTAAACAAGGGGTGCAATGAGAACATTAAGTGAGGAGAAAAAGCAAAAAGCACCATAGAAAACACTAAATTTCCCTTAGGAGGCCGGCCGTAGTACGACGGAGAGACACAGCGCTGCGAGGAGAGGGAGAACACAAGATAGCACGTCATACGCGAGAGGACGCAGAGATCACGTATACCGTAGTGGCTACACTCGGTCGCAGCGCGGGCAGCGGGCGAGCAAGGCCTTAGCGCCATTGCTGGCGCACTATTGGGTCAGTGGTGGATTGGTGTCACGTCCTTAGTGCTTGGGGAGCCCACTATCGCACCCTGGGAATAACTTCTGCTGGTTGCCTAATCCTCACTCTAAATTTAAGTGTGGGGTGGTGCTAGGATTGCTGGTGGATCACTGAAAGTGATAACAACTGATAGAAGCTTAAAAGAGCCTAGAACGCGAAAGTCTCCAATTGCATCACAAAGCTCCCGTTGCAATGAAGAGTTCTAACTTCAAGTTGTGTGGGGTGGGACAGGGACACATATCGATATAAGCTTGAGCGGGTTCTTAGCGAATGATACATTTCATTCCTAATCCAGTACCAAGAGGATCAAAGCTCATTGAACCGCTAAACCTTAAAATTTTCTTACAGTGTGAATGGATAAATCTTCAATGCCCACTAATTATAAGTGAGCATGTTTCATTTCTCTTTTAAAGCTAACAGCATAAAGCGCTATTCACTGCTAAATTTCCGAAAGCAAAATACTGGCGTTTACAGAGTTATGATAATCATGCCACCTCAGGTTCGCAAGCCATCACGCGCATCCATGATCAACTTCAATGAACTGGCGAGCCCTTGTCATTCGAATAACATATTCATTAATGAGGTGCTTTGTAGAGGAAGATTATGTTCCACAGGTGCTCTAATTCCGCTGAGACACACCGTGTGATGCGCGCGATAGCGAGCAGAGCAAAGCTCATGTTAATTTCGAAAGTTCATGATTTACACATTCGACACAAGCCTTAGATGAGTTTAACATGAAGAATCAGCAGTTAACGGACAGATCAGCGAGATTTTTCCACATACAAGGGAGTAGAGGTGCGAACCGTAAGTTCAGCCGCAACTACACTGCGACGCATAATGATACGTCCGCCTTCAAATTTCCCAAAAACTACATCTGGGGATGTTTTCGAGAAAGGCTTTGGCGACGAAAAAAAGCAAAACCGCTGTCAAACTTCCGTGAAAGGAAAATCCTATCTAAGGAGGCTCAGGAATTGTCGATGTATCAGTTCACGCGGGGGTCGGGCTCAGTTCTTAACGAAATAAAAATAATGAAATGGTAACATAATAATATGCGTATAATGAAATGGTGCCCCGGTAGCGTAACTGGTAGCGCACTTGCCCGGAAAGCGAGAGGTGCGGGTTCTAGTCCCGCCTGGGGCGAAAGTTTTGTTCACAACCCAGCATTCTTGTGAATCACAACGAACAATTTTCTCGAGGATCCTGCAGGATATGATACTGGTAAGGAACCCTGATTACTATCCGACCGAGATAAGCGCCGTATCGTGAGAAAATAATACAACTTTATCCAGCCGGGTACGGAAATCAAAACTTCTTCAAAAGTTAGTGTCTCAATGGACGCAGTTTCACGTGTTTTACAACACGCTCGTGACAGTCCATGTCTGGAAAATGAGAAATCCACTTCTTGTGAAAAAAATTAGAACTAAAGACGTGCGTTTTCTCCAGAAATTTTCGCCGCGTTGGCGATCTGGGACATTTTTATGGGTGATTTTGGAATCTCTGGACCATCTATTTCATCTTTTTATTCTTTTGTGGTTGGAAGTATCATTATGCGTCGTATAACGCATCACCTTGGCAGATCGACGTAGGTAGGCGTGACCTTATGGATCTGGATCGAAAGTCTAGGGATATCCTGGGATATTTGCCTACTCCTGCCAGTATGGTCTGCGCTTGAAGACGCCAACTGCATTCAACGATAATGCCACACCACTTTATCTAAATTGGGGAGATTCGGTGAAGTTGTTGAATGCAAGTTCCCATTATGGACTACTTTGGTGGATGTTGATTCTGTGTCACTTGCTTTACAGATAGACTCAACTGAGTGGAAAAACAATTTCAGTGTCGCATTTCACAAATTCCTTCCTGCGGATGTTGTTAAAGAGCTGATTAATAAGTATTCATGGACATCACTACAGCCAGAAACGCTCTTAATGGTGATATTCTTTCGGATCTTCATTTACCCTCCCTTCTCAGCAATTCTTGAAGAGTCGTTTTAGGTCATGCTTCCTCCACTTTTGTTTGAGTCTTCGTTCAAAATCAATCCGCATTTATTCTTCGCCAAAATCTATCTCATCGTAAGCCTGACAGTAGTGGCCTTACTACGTTACACTACTCATCGCCGGTGCGATTATGCTGCCGTTGCTAACTCAAACGCAGCAGCTAAAAATTTCTGCGGTACGTCATTAACTCTCTTAAGTGCAAAAAAAATTTATTCAACTTTCTCGTGGCCATGTCTGTCGTATTTCGCAGAGAGCTCCCTCTACCACACACATGGTCTAGGATTAGGCGCGTTTATAGTTCGCGACTCCAGAGATTAGGATAGTAAGCGTCAATGAAAAAGATGCGTATAACGGGGAGATGAGGATAGTAGTAGATTACTAAAGGTTCTTTTTTGACGAAAGCTCAATACCTCTAGGGTGGGGTTTACGATCAGAAAGCCACTAAAATTAAAGAGGTGGTCAGTGATGAGGGATGAAGAAAAAACCATAAGAAACGGTCCCGAACCAGAGAAAGTGGGAGCTTTTCCTTGTCCGTTGATTTCCGCATTGATGCGACTCTCATCGGTGCTGCCCTCTTCAACGCTAACGCTCTCTCTGCTAAACGGTAAGACCTGCGATAAGTGGTCAGCCAGTCGGTGGGCGTGTCGCGCCGATAGCACCGCGGGGCGAGCCATGCTAGATCGCCGGGGCATTCCTTCGCTGCGAATCGCGTGTCAGTTCGCACCCTTAGGGGGCTCGCCTTTATCTCACTAGGTAAGTTTCCCCTCATTGCACTTCCGACCTTATCGTGGAATCCTCCTTTGAGGCGAGCCAGTGACTTTATCGTGCCAGTCGGCTCGGGTGCAAGTAAAATACACATTACTAATTCTAAAATATCCTTCCGTGCCCTTCTGTTACCTTACCGGAACGTTTAAGAGAGATGATAGACAGTTTTATCCAAACTCGGTCCTGATTTGTGATCGCTTTCCCACATAATGCTAACCGCACACATTTTTCGCGTTCAAGGGATTGTAAAGATCATGTTCTTCTACATTTTTCAGGTGTTCCTATTTATCTCAATAATTGTCGCCACCGATCCAGTTGCTGTCGTTGCGATTTTGGAGCAGTACGGTGCTCCTCATCGGCTACGAATTCTCATCGAAGGCGAATCCCTTCTGAATGATTGGCCTCGCATTGTTCACCTTACAGGAATACTGGAACGCGCGTAGAGGTATGCCTTTTATGGCAGTCATTTCTTTTCTTACCACAGGTTGAGCTGGGAATTTCTAACAAGTTCGATGTACCGCAGCTAATTTTCGTGGTGGTCATGAGCGTCGTCGGTTCGCCAGTGATCGGCACCATCGGGGCAAGAGTGGTGGCCTGGATCATCGCGAAATTACAAGAGAATAAAAAGCGACAGGTTTGCAGATTTGCTCTAAAGGCGAACTCTCCTCTATGTAGAATCCTCAATTCACTCGTATTCAGGCATTTATTCTGGTTTCCGTATATGGCATGTTCATGCTATGTGAAACATGTAACGCTTCTCCAGCTCTCGGCCTTGTGGTTTTCGGGATCATGCTCAGCTCATACAGGTATATCATACCGAAGAAGTCTTTCATCCAAGTCAGTCAGGCTTTCAAGCCCGTCGGGCTCGGCGCTCGATAAGTTGGCAGCGTCTCCTCATTGTCGTACTTCGAAAATGAAAAATCCTGCCTCGTAGCGGACAATGGCAAGCATTCAAGCTGGTGAAGGCCAAGAGCTCACTCATGATGGCTATATCGCTAGGTTCACCTTCTTTGTCAAATAGCGGCAGGTTGCGCTTGCGGCCTTTCCACAGGCTAAGTGTCTTGTCGGTGACTACAGCATGAGCCAAAATTATGAGGGCAAAGACATTATGTCCTCAAAAACGCATAGTAGCTTAATGGAACAAACCAACATCAGAGAATTATTCTTCTCTTATATCAAAGTAAAACCAAATAGAATTGAGATCTGCCATCTTTGCGGTTACACGAGCCTTCAGATGAAGGGGGATGGCGCGTGCGGTGGCACGCAACTAAGGCGTGCCAAAAATATTTTCAAGCTTTCTGCTTTAGGGGACCAAAGCCTTCATTTTCATTTTTTTCAAGGTTCTTCATTTGCACTTGCCGCGAGGATAGATTGTTCTAGTGGAACATTCCTTCAAAGCAATGAACTTAAAAAATCACTTTTCGGAGAATTTTTCCGAAACAACGGGCGATTGACCCTCGTCTGCTCTCCTTCTATTCTATGCTCTTGTATGAGTCTTCGACGTTGCTCTCTCCCCCAGGTGCTTTACTCATCTCTTAAGCTCATCGTCAGGATCCAGCAAAATATCCTTTCCTGTTTCCGCCCGGACTTGGTATTTGTTGCCTCTTCCCAGTGCGAGTTCATATGCATCTTCAGCTGTTGGTCAGAGCATAACTCACTTTTGAAGTGTTCCCTGTATTATTATGTTTCATTTATTTGTTATGGCAGTGAGTTTTGTATGCTATACGAAGATTTTACGAGAAATGTTTCGCCCCTGAGACGACTGAGATGGCTTTGGAGCTTTGGGCCGCTATGGGATATTGGGCTAACAACGTGATTTTCATCTTTGCCGGATTCAGCGTTGGTTTGGAGATGTTCAGTCGCAGCGAGCACAACTTCTATCGCCAGGTAAAGCCTGTGAAGGTAATACACTGGTCTTTTACAGTAGTATATCTGATCTTCAGCTACACGGCAGTACTTACTTCGAGATTGACGTAGAGGATATGGCGGTTATCATTGAAGGAATGCTACTATCACCTGTACCACTTTTTGCCAGAGTTGCCTCTATATATTTATTCTATAAAGTTAGTCGATCAGTAACAATAGTCATTATCGACCGGACAATATTTTTAATTACAGTACTCGGGCCTGCTCTCTTCGCAGCCGATTCCTCCTCGGTCGGAATTCACTATTTTGGCATACGCAGGACTTCGTGGAGCGCTTGGTCTGATATTGGCCATGGAGCTGCGCAATTAGGTACGGAAGGGTTATGGTCAGGATTGAGAGTATGGGTGCTGCTTCATGTGGCAGGCCGCAAAAGCGGCAATACTATAAGCAGATGTAATACAAGTTTGTAAAATATTGGCATAATTGAGTACTGGTTAGGTGAAGTCATGGAAAATAGGGCGGCCAGTTGGTTGGTTGAAATGTTTGCAGGTGGGGGTGTTCACGTTTGCCAGTAGATGCAAAAGTTGTTAGGCTATGATTCATTAGGCCGGTTGCTTTGGAGTGAGGACAGGGTCAAGCAGCGTCGAGGAAAAATTTGGAATATGTCCCAACTACCTCTGCAGAGGCACAGTCCACGACTCTCTTCAAAAGCCGAACTATGGAAAGGTTGTCTAATTCTCCCCCAAAACTGTTCATAAAAAAAGCCCTGCTATCACACCGTCAACCGAAAATTCTTTTAAAAGTACAAAAGTGAAAAGTCAAAAAATTAATCATTATTGATGAGTCCTACCAAACGAGCAAACGAAAAAAGCAGCAGAAAACCTCAAACTACTCACTAAAAATGCATACTATGACAATCTTCTTTATTTTATTTTTCACAAGACTTACCAAAATTCAGTACTACACAGAGTACGGTTATCAATTTACACGTCCCCCTTCAGTTGAAAGAAGCTTTTTAACCGCCTTAGCCAGCTGTGTGCTGACTGATCTTTGGCGTTGACCGTGGAGCAGCTTATCTACTATTGAAATTTGAACAAATATTCAAATGATTATAACTTTCTTCAAATATGACGAATTTTCAATCTGAAAGCAGATTTGGAAGTTTTGTGAAGAGCTTTTTCCAGTATTGAAATCACAAAAATTTATAAGAAATAACAAATTTAGATCGATTAACGAGGAAAATTCATGATGAGCACGAGTTTTTACACTTTCCGAGGCCGTACTTGCTCCCTTTTCATCATTCCCGGAAAGTTAATATGTCAGACAAAACTAGAAGATTTTCTCTATCAAATGGTTGCTAAAGCAGCTTTATATGTCCACTATTTAAAAAATGGCCACGTTGAGGATTTTTGCAAAATTAACGAGGAAAATTTGCGATGAGTGCGAGTTTTTACGCTTTCCAAGGCCATAACTACGTTCAAACCCATCCAATCTGAAAAGTAAATACGTCAGCATAAACTAGAAGAATTGCACTATTCAACGGTTACTAGGACTGCTAAAAACGTCCACAATTTAAAAAATGGCCACGTTGAGGATTTTTGCCCGAGTACCGCCGAAAGTCACTTTTTCGCTGCATTAGCACTACTCCAACGACTATAGCTCCTTTCAGGGGCAATTATACACTAAAGTAGGAGCAGATTCGAAATCCTCTTTCTTTTCTCTTTCCAAAAAGTGTAAAATTGTTTAGCGTGTCTTAACTTTAACGATTACATGCTTGTGAATTTGACGCTGAAGGCTGCGTTTCTTGCTCCAATATGTGCATCTCCATGTTATCTCACACTGGACTTTACTAGGGATCCTTAATTTTTCTCTGAATTGAGAGTTTTTCTCTCAAGAGCCGTAGTTAAAGCGCGCGCAACTAACTGGGCCCACTCTGGTATGCGCCGTGTGCTTCACATCCCTTGAGATTCGAGGACTCACCTGAAAGATAAAATATCCGTTGGAAAACGTGCGAATTTTGGATTTTTTGACTTGTTAGTGATAGTTTAAAGATAAAACTCTGAGGTAGTGAAAAATCACTACGCGCACACCTCTGAATCACGAAAATTTTATGTGGGCGGAACAGCATTGGTACTGGAAGTCCTCTGGCCTTCCATGGCATCGACTCGATCCCTGATGTTTGTCCTCCGACAGTGGTGCATCAATCCGGCCCGATCCCTTCCTCCCAGCGGGCCAATACGACCCCCCCCCTGCGACGTGTTGAGGATTCCTCAACGCACACTTGACTGCTTGGAGTGAGGACCGGTATAGGGTGGTCACAAATTACGGTAACAAGATAAAGTGTTTATAGATAATCTACACAGAACGTAAATATCAGTCGCAAAACATTCCTATATTAAATGAACGTTAAGAAACAAGAAAACAGGGGTACTTCCATAGTGGTGACGTTGAATTGCGAAGGAGCATGTAGTCGTGCATCTTACCGATCATGTTAGTGGTAAACGGCGAGTTCATCCTAGGCAGGAATTTTGAAATTGGGCCTCTCCACGCTCGTGCGCCTTCTTTTTGAGAGATTTTCTGGTGCTCTCTGTGTCTGTAGTTAAATTATCTCAGTTTGAATTTAAACATGCCTGCAGCCGCTCTTTTTACCGTGTGGCCACTCGTAGATACAGACAAGGCGGAATAGCACGTATCTGGATAAAGACGGAGAAGGGTATAGAGAGAAGAAAGAGTCGCTTGAATCACTGGGTGTGGCTCACTAGGACAGAAGAGCGACTTTCCGCAGCGCGAAACATTTTTCGCTGCGGGAACCTCAGGTCCACCGCTGATCATGAGTGGACCCGAGTTCCCGCAGCGAAAAATGTTCTCGCGCTGCGAAATGCGAAAAGGGCCTTCTGTCCTAGAAGTGAACCACACCAATCACTTGCAGCGTAAACGTGCCGCATGGACTTACAAATGTGCGCGTGACGCCCCATCACCTTAGGTAGGTGTCTGACTCGGCGACAGCGCTATCTTGATTGCAAAGCGCAAGGCTCACCACTTTCCTCGCTCACGAGTATACTCTCCACGCTGACTTTTGGCACTTTCCCACTCTCTGAAATGGTATGCGGATCAATAAGGCAAAGTG